ATTTTGACAGTAAAATAAGTATGTAAAAACGTACTTATCAGGATCACCTGAGAACTTATGTTCTCCTTCAACCGGAACTCCGATCACTTTTCTTGATCTTCATTGCTCTAAAAAATTATGAGGAAATTAGGTTTCAGTGTTTTGATTATGTGGATTTGATGTTTTCAGTGATTTTGGTTGAATCAAAAGAGTTTGAATAATGTATAAGATATGATAAAAGCACTCTCCTAGATAAACTAATATTCAACCCGGCGTTTTCACGAAATGAGGTTTAATATTTACAGTATATAGGTTTTTGGGTAGTATAGGATAGACATGACTCTCGAAAAATGCGAATTAGGGTTTTTTTGGTAATATCGTCGCTCGAGCGAGAGTCCAGCGGCAGACAAGTGACAGACGCTTCGCTCGAGTGACACGATAGCAATAGGCTAGTGAATGTGTTTCTACTTTGGACGATCGAGCAACAACTTGGCGGCAGCTAGTAGAAATCCTACAACATTTTCTTCTTGTTCTATAACCGAACACAAGAACTCCCAACCCATCTATACAACCTATCAATTTACTCATTGACTTTTAAAACTTTTTTATAGCTATATTTTTGTCTAAAGATTGTCAAACTTAACGCAACCCTTATTGAATATAGTTGATAAAAGTAATGATCTCCTCTTTTGAAACTGAATATTTAATGCTTGATAAAAATAAAATATACTAAAAGTGTCCAATAAGATGACAGCTACTTTTGAGACATGGGATTATAGATGTACGAATTTATGCAATAGTCCAATTGGGTAGTGTCTTTTGGCAATTAAATTATTAGGAACAAATTTTGGAATCAAAATGTGCTTCGTACTGAATCTACTCACATTCTTTCTTTTGGTCGACTCTTTATATATGCTTAAGTTATTTAGTGTCCTTTTGGTATGAATTTTGTTTTTATTTTTCCTTCTTGTAGAAGAGTTTTTGAAAGAAGTTATCTTAATTTTTATTTGAAAACTAATTTTTAAAAGCATTTTTTATTATGAAAATGCTTTTAGAGAAAGCCACATTAAACCAATTTCTTTTAAAAACTTTTCTAATTATCAGAAACACTTTCATAAAACTAATCAAATCAATTCAAAAGCAGCTTTTGAATCATAAAAGCTCATTTTGACTTTTTAAAAGTTATGACAAACGGGCCTTTAGACGGTAATAAAAAAGCCAGAAGGAAAAAGATTTTACATGGAGTCAAATATGCTATCGAAAGATTTATAGTAATGTATTTATAACTTTTTATGATAAAGATCTTGTAAATGTGTTGCTTCTTAACAAAATTTAAACCACATGATGTATAAGAAAGTGATATGGAACTCTATAACAGGGTATTTTTGACAATGATTTTATGATAGAATCGTCGTGAAATTTTCAAGCTATGGCATTTTTTTTCGTAAATGAGTTTTCAACCTTTAATTCTGAGCATTTAAGTCTCTAGCATTTTATATTCATAGGAAGTTTCGAAATCCTTATTCTTAAAATTTTGCCCCAAAACTTGGTAGGGTTCTTTGCAGGTTAACCAATGATTAATTAGTGGGCCCTATATTCATGTGAGAGGACTGTACAATTTACAGCCCTTAATGACTGTAAATGTAGCAGTTCTCTCATATAGGGGAAAATTAAGTCACTTTCATTCCTATGTGAAAGTTGTGCATGTAATGAGTCTTTAATTAAAAAAAAAAAAAATTGACTCTTAATGCATATAAGAATTTAAAAAAAAAAATTTAAAAATAAACATATTTCTTTCTAACGACTTGTTATTTTAAACGAGATGGTCGAACGATACTTTAATATTAAATTATGAAGTGATAACAAACAAATAGGGAGTCAAATGTATCCCGATCAAGCTGACTCCAAATTAAAGAATTTTAACAAAGAAGTCAATTCTCCATTGCTACGAGTACGACCACAAATGTGGATGATATGTGCAGACTCATTGTAGGTATGCAATCTATGGTATGAATAGAAAGTTGGTACCCAATTGCAATTTATGGTATGAGTAGAAAGTTGGTACCCAGTTTCTAAAGTTGAGCAAGTTAATCCTCAATTTTTTTTATTGCAATTGCATAATTAATCCCTACTAGTGAAACTATCTAACTCTCCGTTAAATTGTCATGTGGCCCTCACATGTCTAAATATATGAAATTAGAATTTCATTCTTCAATGTGGTTGGTGCTTTTAAATTTTAAGCAAAACACATTTTCATGAGGAACAAGTGACGGGATTACGAATATTTAGACAATACTCTTTGTTACTAGCATCTGATTCTACAACTATAATGAAAGACGAGAATCAATTTGTTCATTTCACAGGTTAGGAACCAACTTGATACTTTGACAACAAATTGAAGACCACTGATGCAATTTTCCCAATAAAAAGTTCAATATTTTTCAAATTCTTTCCTTGTATTAAAGTCCTTACACTCTCCCCATTTTCTACCATCTCACGAGTTCTTACTAATTTCTATCTGAAAAGAGAAAAAGGGAAAAAGCATTGGGAAAATGGAAATGGAGGCTGCATATATGTCTAGTGGAGGAGAGATGGAGGACGGCTTCCATGGCGGCATGAAACGAGTGGTGGTTGTTAACAAGAGAACAATGAAGTTTTCCAACTTGGTTTCCAAATTTTTGGCTCTCAAGCCTAAAAAGCATCGACACGGATACCCACATGCACAATCCATAGAATCAAAAGGCACTTCTTTGAGTTCTCGCGAACACAACATGATATGAATGTGTAGACACATGATCTTTTTAAAAAATAACGTAGTGCGGACATGTAATTTTAAATTTTGATAAATCTTTCAAATTGGATGAGTACATAAGTAATATATTTTTCGTATCAACGAAAGAAAAATGCATATAGTAGATGTAATGATTTTGACATAATATTCGTAGAATTTTTCAACATCATTTAAACATTTTTAGGCAAATGTTTGATGATTAAAGTTTTATTTAATTTTGCGTTCCAATTTATAAAATTGGACTTTTCACGTTCATCATAGCAAGGACGTGTTCTCACACGTAAGAGATAGAAAGAGCATATAAAATATAGCGCACAGCATCGTGCGTGTTATATACATGCTCGATGAATATCCCAAAACTCTCTCAAGTATCAAAAATTTAAAAATATATAAAAATAGGACATACCACGTGGTGGTGTGTCATATAAAAAGTCTTGGAGTGTTCGACACAGCACAACACTCCCTCCTAATAAGTATTCATCAACACTTATACTAGAGGCAACAATACTTCTCGACGTGAATAAGTAGTCGAAAGATATCTAAATAAGATCAAATAGTCATTCGTCATTCTTTACTTTTTACAATAGAATGAAATATTCACCCAATTTTTTACATTTATAATCAATTAGTTTAGTACTTTCTTAAAATGTTGATCAACATTTCACACATTTAAATATGTCTTTTGATACATTTCAAGAAAAAGGATTAGTTACCTCTGCAAGGATACTATGCCCCTGTTTGGTAGGGATTAAAATCTAGATTTTAATCTAAATTAAAGTCAATAATTAATTTTAATCATATATTTTGGATCCTACAAAATTTTCAACCACACATTTCATCAATTTTTATTAAAATTTACTGAAAATCTAATTTTAATCCATACCGAACATGGGCTATATATGAGAGGGGTTAATTACTCTATCGAATTTGCTTCGAACCTTTCGGATGAGAGGTAGCAAAATCAGAATTGGGAGCAATTTCATAGTTTTCCCTTAGAAAACAGCAATCAAATTATATTTCAGAGGTTATTAGTTTCGCTAAAATCATCTTTGCGGTAATGTTTTTGAATTCCTCGTTGGGTTTTCTTGTTTTTCCATTTTTTTGGGGGGGTCGATATGTAACTTTAATTTGTATTTCACCAACAATTTTGTAATCACAATACCTCCTAAGCGCTAATATTTTCTGTCCATCATCTTTCAATCACAAAGATTAGCATACATCGTCTCTATCACATGACTGGCTATACCATAAAACTCCATCAAATCGAGAGTTTATCATCGCGAGATCTCCCTGTTATCGCAATTAGTTGGATTCCACATGTAATGCCCCGAGTTTCGTGAATCTGGATTGCCACGTCATCGTCTTTTGTAACTGATTTAACTAAAAGGATTGCGGAAAATAACAAAATTTAAGACATCGTAATTAAAACTATA